GACACGGCTGGATTCCAACCCAAGCTGAGGACCAAACCAGACCAGAGCCACTGCAGGTGAGAGGAAATCCCATTTGGGGTCGGGCAGGTGTGTCTGCATGGACAGCCCACTCTTGCTTTTGAGGGCAGAGCAGTAGAGGCCCGATTTTCGGGTTGTGAGAAGGAGGGACTGCAGGGCTGGAGTTTTGGGTCATTTACCTAAAAGGAACGTGGGACATGGAATTATACATGGGGAAGAACAGAAAGGCTTTCGATTATAAATGGGGAGGGGCAGAAAGCCCGGCCCCTAGGTGCCTCTGCATGAAGTCTCTCTCTGGCCTGGACTTCTGGGTCTGAGGGAGGAGGTGGGGGCAGAATGGGGGCTCCTGGGTCTGAGGGGGGAGGTGGGGGCTCCTGGTCTGAGCGAAGAGAAGGGACCCGGAGACCAGGAGTCCTGCTTCTGAACTCTCTGTCTTTCCAGCCCCAGCAGAAGAGACCCGTCCTCTGTGGCAGCCAAGGAGGTTCAGACAGGACACATGGCAGGTCCCCTGCTCCAGCCCCTGCTGCTCCTACTGCTGTCCTTAGCCCTGGGATCTGCTGTACAAGCAGGTGAGGATCGGCCTGGGAGTCCTGACCTTGCCCCCAACCTCACAGTCCCCCACTTCCCTCTCCAGAGCCCCCTCTTCTCCAAGGAGCCCCCAAGTCAGGATCCTCCCCTGTAGCAGCCTCCTCCATGGAGACTCCAACCCTGGGCTGTGGCCCCTTTCTTCCTGCTCCCTCCTGTCCCCTGGGCTCTGGGTGCCCTCCAGGCTGCTTCCTGCCCTCCATGTCTCTCTCATCAGAAGCTGGGGTTGGCTCCAGACCAGCAGGTGCCCTGGGTTTCTGAGCAGGCTCCCCCCGTCTCTCTCCATCTCTGTCTGCAGCTGTCTCTGCCCTGTGCTCCATACCTGCCTCTGCCCTTCTCCACGCCTCTCTGTGTGTCTCTCTCCATCACTATCTCTGGGAATTCATCTACTCTGGACTGATGCCTGTTACCCATGATTCTCTGTGTCTCCCTCCAGCCCAGGACACCGGGGAAAGGATTATTAATGGAGTTGTATGTACAAGAGGCACCCACCCCTGGCAGGTGGCCCTGTATCACAACAACGTGTTCCAGTGTGCAGGCGTGCTGATCCATCGGCGGTGGGTGCTCACCGTCGCCCACTGCCGCAGGAGGTACAGAACGAGGGAGCCACAATGAGGTCTCTCTCTCTCTCTCTCTCTCTCTCTCTCTTTTTTCCCCCCTGTAACCATCTTCTGACACTGTGATCTCATTCCCCTCCCCCCTTTTTAAAAAAATTTACTGATTGATTAAGGTATCACATATTTGTCTTCAACCCCCCATTCCAATCCCTCACCCTCCCTACTCATGCCCCACCCCCTTATTGTCCTTGACCACTGGTTAGGCTCATATGTGTGCACATACGTTCTTTGGTTGATCTCTCCCTTTTATCCCCACCCTCCCTTTGAGGTCCAATCGTCTGACCCATGGCTCCTTATCTCTGGGTCTGTTCTTGTTCATCAGTCTATGTTATTCACCATTCCCCCTAGATGAGTGAGATCATGTCCTACTGGAAATATAAGAATCGAAAATGAGACAAACAATAATCGTTACGCTGAAAGGCACATGAATCCGTCTGTAGTGAGTTTCCTTCTTGGCCAACAGTTCTTTTTGAGACCCAATTTTCTCTCTCTCTCTCTCTCTCTCTCTCTCTCTCTCTCTCTCTCTCTCTCTCTCTCTCTCTCTCTCGGCTTCTATCCCCCTAACTCTGGGTCTATGTTCCCCCATCTCAATCACAGCGTCTCCCACTCACCGTTGCCTTTTTCTTTCTCTCCAAGTGAGTTCATCGTGCAAATGGGCACTGATCTTCTGGTTAATCCAAATGCCCAGAAGATCAGGGCCACCGAGACCTACGTCCACCCCCGGTATGACGTAACGACGGATGTCCACAACATCATGCTCGTGAAGCTGAGCAGCCCCGCCAAGCTCTCGCCCACCGTGATGACCATCAACGTGCCCTCCACCTGCAGACTGCCCAGGAAGAGCTGTACTGTCTCTGGCTGGGGCAGCATCACCATGGATGTCTGTAAGGCTGCCTCTGAGGCCCAGGAATAGCTCAGCCCACAGCTCCTTTCTCCCTAAGACACAGGAAACAGGCAACAGCCAAAAGAGGTTTGGCTCAGCGGATAGAGCGTTGGCCTGCGGACTGAAATGGTCCTGCGTTCGATTCCAGTCAAGGGTGTGCACCTTGGTTGCGGGCACATCCCCAGTAAGGGGTGTGGAGGAGGCAGCTGATGATGTTTCTCTCTCATCGGTGTTTCTAACTCTCTATCCCTCTCTCTTTCTCTCTTTCAAAAGTCAAATATATATATATATATATATAAGTTTTTTTTAAAAGGGTATAGGTAACAAACCCAAGATCCCAGACCCACATATCCCTCCTCCCTCAGCCAAACCCAGGAGCCCTGGCCTTTAGACACCCCTCCCCCAGTCCCATAAACCTCGGATCCCAGGCCTCCGTCCCCCAAGACCAAGGTTAGAGCCCCAGCCACATCCCCATGCAGACCCAAGTGCCCAGACCCTTAGCCTTCTCCACCATCAGGTTCACCATTATTGGCCTACAGCCAGCCAATCACAGGGAGGGGGGCGGTGCTTCCAGGAAGTAAGAGCCCCATTTATTTGTCAAGATCCTGGGAGAGGAAGCATTACCTCTCTCAATCTCTCTCTCTCTCTCTCTCTCTCTCTCTCTCTCTCTCTCTCTCTCTCTCTCTCTCTCTCCCTCTCTCCTCTTCCCTCTTTAGACCCCCACTATCTTTGCTCACATGTAACGCCTCCTCCCTTAAACAGAGGAGTCCCTGGCCTCAGCACCCCCTCACCCTCAAATCCAGGAGTTCAGACACAAGTCCCCTCCTTGCTCAGGACCAGCAGTCCCACAGGACCCTTTCCAGGTCCGTCGTATTGAGTCACTCCAGCCCGTCCTCTTCCAATAGCCAGGGCCCCCATTCCTTTACATCAGCGCCCCTGGGTCCACCGGGCCCAGCCCCTGACTTCCCGCTCACTTCCCCAGCTGTAGGACACCCAATCGCACTCATGTGCTCGAACGTCAACCTCGTCCCCTACAAGGAATGCAGGAAGGACTACCCGACGGTGCTGAAGAAATACACCATCTGTGCAGCTCCCGTGGACAGAAAGTCTTTTGCCTGCAAAGTGAGTCCCCTCCTCCCCCACCTGCCTGCCCTGGGTCCTGCTTCCTCTCAGGCCTGTCTCCCCACTCTATTCGGTGTCCGGGGGGGGGGCCTGACCCTGGGGCTGAGCCTTCCCTCACCCCTTACCAGGCCCACTTCCCTGGCTCTCTCTCCTCAGTCCTCTGCCCAGGTCAGGGTGGGAGCCCACGGGGGTCGGCGTGGCCTTGGGGGAAGGCACAAAGCTGAAGGATAGAACCTGGGGGTGGGAAATGGGGGGAGGGCAGTGAAGCATGGAACACAAGGACACGCTTTCAGGGCACACTGAAAGCTCCGTGGTTATGTAAAACATAATCCACGGTGAGCCAAACATCAGCATGTTCAACAAAGAGCAACCAGAATGGAATTCATTTCCCGTTTGCTTCGGAATTCTATGTGGTTCAGATCTAAAACTGGAATACCGCCCTAGCCAGTTTGGCTCAGTAGGTCAAACGTAGGCCTGCAGACTGAAGGGTCCTGGGTTGGATTCCAGTCAAGGGCACATGCCCAGGTTGCAGGCTCCATCCCCAGGAGGGCTCCAGCCAATGTCTTCCGAGAAGCTGGCTACAAGGACCAGCTTTCAGGGCACATGGAAAGCTCCGTGACCAGGGTGGATCGTATTCCCATGACATATGTAAAACATAACCCACGGTGAACCAAACATCAGGATTTTCAACAACAAAAAATAGGAACCAGATGGGCTGGGTTTCCTATTTGCTTTGGCGCCTCTGTGGTTCAGAGGAGCGTCGTATTGGCCCAGTCTTTATCGAACACTGGAATACCCGGTTCCTCGTGGATTTTTTTAAAATATTAAATTCTATTTGTAAAACATGCTTTAAAATGCAGTCGCTGACATGTGCCCGAGGCTCGTGCCCTGCTTCTATGTCTGTGTATCAGGTTCTAATTCTGAATTTTCTTGTCTCCCCACCTTCCTCATCTCTCCAGTCTCCTCTCTGCCCCTCAGAATCAGCTAGCCTCACCTCCCCTCGCACCTCATTTCATTTCCTGGTTTCCTCTGTGTTCTCTCTCTCTCTCTCTCTCTCTCTCTCTCTCTCTCTCTCTCTCTCTCATTCCTTTCTTCTTTAGACCCCCCACTATCTTTGCTCCCATGTGCACGCTCAGCTTTCAGGGATGGTGAAGCGGTGTGTGTTAGGAAGAGAGGTGATGGGACAGCGCTGTGTGTTCTTTAAAATGGGGGGGGGGGGGTTCCCCCTTGACCTCTGCTGAGGGCCTGATTCACAACTCTGCAAACTGGGCAGGGACACAGAGTCGCAAACTCGCGACAGCCCTGCACTTTGGTTCAACGCACTCGCTTTTCTTAAACTTCATCTACTTGAACCTGGCGGTCGGTACCTTTATTTTGCACTGCATCCTGTAAATTAGGGCATTGGTCCCATCCCCAGTTTCCAGGACTACCCTGTCCCCATCCCTGGGTAAGGAAATGCATGGGATTCCCTGGTGGTAATGCTTCCTCTTCCAGGGGCTTGACAAATAAATGGGGCTCTCACACCCTGGAAGCCCCGCCTCCCTCCCTGTAATTGGCTGGGGCTCAAGCCAATGTCTTCTGAAAACTTGGTTGGTCCTCTCCATGATAGCATTCATTCCTGCTCTGCCATTGGTCCGCACAGACAACGAGTCTCTTCCCATTGGCCAGGGTGGAAGGCTGTGTTCTGGCAGGATCAAGGCTTGATAAGCATGGCTCTGTGGGACTTCCTTGCTGGTTATTTTGAAATCAAAGCTAATCTGCTCTCTCCCTTGCAGGGGGACGCGGGGAGCCCGCTGATCTGCCAAGGAACCCTGCAAGGCCTGGTGTCCTCCGATTATTTCCCGTGTCGCCCACCCTTCGACCCCATCATCTACATCCACGTGTGCAAGTACAGCAAGTGGATATTTGAAACCATGATAAACAGTTGCTAATCTCTCTGCCCCTACGCCCCAAACAGGAAATTCATAGAAATAAAGATACCCATGACTTGCAGCCATATTTGACTTCATCATTTTTCAAAGTTACATTTGAAAAAATGTCAACGATATCCTAATCAAATAATAAAATTATCAAAAATCTATGCATTTAATAAAAAAAAAACGTTAGTGCTGGTGAAGATGCAGGGAGACCCGCAGTGTTCTCCAGTAGAACTGTAAACTGCTACCATTTTTAGGACAGAAGGTGAATCCAGAGTCTCATTCATCACTTTTTGAAAGATGAGACAGAGGCCGGAGACCAGGAGACCAGGACACAGGCTTTATTGGCGGAGAAGTGCCCTGCCGGGCTGCCTTCCAAGGAGAGAGAGCACATGTGCCAGGGTGAACACGCCTTTTGAGGGGAGGAAAGGGAAGGGATGGGGCTTAGAGCACTCAGCACACGCTGATTGGTGGTTTCATGTAAGGCACAGAGTTAGGGACCTATAAATCAGGGGCTTAGGGTATTTAGCAGGTGCTGATTGGTGGTTCAATGTACAGTCCATAGAAGGTGCCTGGTTAGGTACTTAAGAAAGTCCGGCTGCAGGTGGAATTTTCATCACACTCCGTCCACCAGTTGGGGGAAGGGAGGATCTATCACATTGGACCTGGTAATTCTGGTAAATCCGAAATGTGGGCAAGGTTTGAATGCATCAAAACACTATTGGTCATAGCAAAGCAGTGGGAACGTGTCCCAAATTATTCAATGGTTTATGTCAGCAACAAGCGGATGTGGGTCAGGAGACACATGCAGCTGCTCGGGGGTAATAATTATGCAGAACTGTTGGTGTCACACAGTAAGGTGCATGCTCTCTGATGTTCAATGAAAATAGGGGAGATACTATATATATATATATATATATATATATATATATATATATATATATATACACACACACACACACACACACACACACACACACATATACAGGCAATGAGCCTCACCTTGTCAAAGGAAATATTCACAGAACAATTATCTCACGGAACAAGGACCAGACTGCCTGTGGATGGAGTCGTGGGTGCCTTTTTCCTCGTGTTTCCTGTTCTGTGCCTGTGCCCTTTTACAACCTGAAAAATACGGAGGGGGGGAACCTCTGAGGAGACAAGGCTGGGGAGAAGAGACCTTCGCAGAGGGAGATGGGAAAGGGGCAGTGTAACTGATTGTGAACCCTAATTCTGCCCCCTGGCCCCTGTGATACAGTGGCGTGTTTCTGTCCATTTCCTAGCCCTCAGTTTTCCCCCACTCATGAGAGAGAGACAGAGAGAGAGACAGAGAGAGAGAGAGAGAGAGAGAGAGAGAGAGAGAGAGAGAGAGAGAGAGAGAGAGAGAAACAGAAATGCCTATGTCACCAGTGTGCAAAAGAATGTGAAAGTGGTTCTCAGCACATCACAGGTGTCAAACTAGGAGGGGTGGGAGCAGGTTTTCAGAAAGGTCAGAGTTGCCCTCACCGGTTTGGCTCAGTGGATAGAGCATCAGCTTGCGGACTGAAGGGTCCCAGGTTCAATTCCGGTCAAGGGCATGTACATTGGTTGCGGGCACATCTCCAGGAAGAGATGTGCAGGTAGCAGCTGATGGATGTTTCTCTCTCATTGATGTTTCTAGCTCTCTATCCCTCTCTCTTCCTCTCTATGGAAAAATCAATAAAATATATTTTAAAAAAAAGAAAGGTCAGAGTTGGCATGCAGATAGGACACAGGAGTCCATCCAGGCCCTGACACAAATGAGCACCCATCATCTGGAGTAAGAGAGAGAACAAGGGGGGGGGGGGAACTGGGTTAGGTGGGCTCCTGTTCTACCAGAATTGGAGGGAGGGGCCTCTGGAAGAGGGAAGAGAGGGAGAAGTGGGGATTCCCCCGTGCCTCCGAGCCTGTCAAAGTCTCCAGATGCCTGGCCTCCTGGGCTTCCTGGGCAACCGCACTGCAGACCCTGCTGACTGATGGGTGGTCTCCCCAAAGACTTACCCCTCCCACATAGAAATATCGGCACCCATGGACTGCCCTGTCCCCCATCCCTGGGTGAGGAAATCCTTTACCAGGTTATTCGGGTAAAAGATAACCATCAGGAGGGATGGGGTGCTCTCCTCTCAGTACCAGAGTATTTGTTCCTGCAGCTCCGGAGAGAAGATCATCTGACATTTAAAGTTGTTCTTGCCCTCACCCAGTGGTCGGCAAACTCATGAGTCCACAGAGCCAAATACTAATAGTACAATGATTGAAATTTCTTTGGAGAGCCACATTTTTTAAACTGAAACTTCTTCTAATGCCACTTCTTCAACATAGACTCGCCCAGGCCATGGTGTTTTGTGGAAGAGCCACACTCAAGGGGCCAAAGAGATGCACGTGGCTCACGAATGGCAGTTTGCCAACTACGGCACTAACCGGTTTGGCTCTCCACATACCTGTCCTCGTTTGAGTCTCCTTTAACCCCCAACTAAGCACCCACATATTGAAGAAATTCTGAAGACACCAGTAATCTACAGAGAGGAAACCAAGAGCCCTCCTCTCACAAAGTCTAGGAGTCCAGGCTCCCTAATCCCTCCTCCCTCAGACCCAGGGGTCCAGGTCCTCAGCCCCTCCTTCCTCAGACCCAGGAGTCCAAGTGCCCAGCCCCTCCTCCCTCAGACCCAGGAGTCCAGGCTCCCTAATCCTTCCTCCCTCAGACCCAGGAGTCCAGGCCCCCAGCCCCTCCTTCCTCAGACCCAAGAGTCCAAGTGCCCAGCCCCTCCTCCCTCAGACCCAGGAGTCCCTGCCCCCAGGCCCTCCCCCCTCAGACACAGAAGTCTAAGTCCCCAGATCCCTCTTTCAGACCTGGGCGGTTTGGTACCCAGACTACTTTTTTTTTTTTCTTCTACTTCTCAGGCCCAGTAGTTCAAAACCCAAGATCACTCATATCTCAGACCCAGGGTCCTAGAACCCAATAACCTTCTCTCCCAAACCCCACATTCTGAACTTTCATCCTCTTTTTCTCAGGCACAAAACTGTGGACCCTCCAGTCCCTTCCTAATGCAAACCCAAGAGTCAAAGCCCACAGGCCTTTCCTCACTCAACCCAGGACAATGGTCCCCAAGTCACTCCGCTCTCGGACAAGAAGTTCTGGCCCCGATCCCACACATCCCTCTGACCCAAGAGTTCATGCCTCCAGACCCCTCTTCCCTCAGACACAAGAGTGCAGGCCCCTGGACTCATCTGTTCTCTTGATTAGTAACAATGTAGAAAATATCTGGGTTTGGGGGCACCCCGGTGCCTCGCCAGCATGGCCAAGAGTGAACCTGAGTTGAGGAGGTGAAGGATTGAGAAAAGCTAGGTCTCGGTGGGATGTTCTCCCCTCTGATGGATTGCTTCATGACGGAGAGCTAGCGACAGAGACACAGACTACAAGCCATGTCTTTATTTTATAGCCAGATGCCACTAGTCAAAGGAAGGGCGTGGCCAAGATGTTTACATTTTCATGGGTTTTGATTATACTCAATTACATGCACCGGATCAAGCTTTGTTTACTTGCACCTTATATCACTCGGGCTAGTGGGGCCACGTGTTCGGACCATAGGTTCAAGCTTACAACGACAGCTGCTGGCTATCATTGTGGGTCACGGTGGGATGTTGTCCTCTCTGATGGAGAGCTAGCGACAACACCACAAACTACAAGACCTGTCTTTATTTTACAGCCAGATGCCATGAGGCAAAGGAAGGGTGTGTTCAAGATGTTTACAACATTCTCCTGGGTTTCGATCCTACTCAATTACATGCACCTGATCAAGCTTTGTTCACTTGCAGCCTATCTCACTCAAGCACGTGGGACCACGTGTTCAGACCATAGGTTCTAGCTTACAACTCCAGCTGCTGGCTATCACTGTGCTGGGAGGCCTCTGCCCTCCAAGCTGGGACTTGCACGTGGCCATGAGAGGACTATGTCCTTTTACCAGTCTAAACACTGTAGCCACTCTCCACACACCTTCCCTCCCAAACCTCCATCCACATCCACTCTCTCCAGCGTGCCACCACAAATCAATATTCAATCGCAAAGATATATATATAAAACAAAATAACACAACATGGCAGTTGCACTAACTCTGGCCGGAGATGCCTGGCCACACCTCTCTGCTCCTTTGCAGGAGTGTGCAGGTGGAATTCTCTGCAAGGAGATAGTCCTCTGGTTGAAATTTAAAAAAATAAGGTGGGGAACTACCTAGGATTGGATACAACGTGCAACGGAGACATGCGTGTTTCTCTTACAGGCGATGCAGGATGGGTGACGTCTCACATAAATCGTTTGCCAGGTTATTCGGGTAAAAGATAAAATCAGGAGGGATGGGGTCCTCTCCCCTCAGTACCAGGGTATTTGACACTCCGGAGAGTTGGTCATCTGACATTTAAAGTTGTACTTGCCCTAACCACTTTGGCTCAGTGGACAGAGCGTCGGCCTGCAGACTCAAGGGTCACAGGTTTGATTCAGGTTAAGGGCAGGCACATTCTCAGTGGGGGTTGTGCAGGAGGCAGCTGATGGATGTTTCTCTCTCATTGATGTTTCTAGCTCTCTCCCTTCCTCTCTGTAAAAAATTAATAAAATATATTAAAGTTGTTCTTATTCCAGATGCACAAAACCAATGAGCAGGTCTCACTCGAGGTAAGATTTACTGACTGATCATATAGGCATTCCTCTTCTCCTTTCTCCTCCTCCTCCTCCTCCTCCCCCTCCCCCTCCTCCTCCTCCTCCTTCTCCTCCTCTTCCTCCTCCTCCTCCTCCTCCTCCTCTTCCTCCTCCTCCTCCTCCTCCTCCTCCTCCTCCTCCTCCTCTTCTTCTTCTTCTCCTTCTTCTTCTTCTTCTTCTTCTTCTTCTTCTTCTTCTTCTTCTTCTTCTTCTTCTTCTTCTTCTTCTCTCTCTCTCTCTCTCTCTCTCTCTCTCTCTCTCTCTCTCTCTCTCTCTCGATGGGTAATACCAAGGGCTGGGAAATACGTTT